TTGAGTGTGGTTTGAATCACTGTCCTGGTCAGCCTGAAACACACAAGACACATGTGCTAGTGCCCAAGATATGCCAGTTTGGAGGACTGCAGAAAGGGAATTGTGGCATGATCAGATCTCATGAAGGGTGCTTCTCCCTTTCTGTCTCACTCTCATGTGCATGCACACATCTTCTGTCATGAATAAAGGAAAAAGAATAAAAGAGAACACTATTAATAATTGCAAAGGACAACAGACATAAACCAAGAGTGTCTGTGGGTTACCAGGACCTTCACTGCTTGGTTATGAACCCCCTTCCCTCCCCAAGGAGAGTAATGTCAGAATAGAATCATCAGCAGTAAGATGCTGTTCTGCAACCCAGGCTTTCTGACCAAAGTCAGCTGCATCACTCTGTTAGACTGAGCAGATGCGTGAGAGTGGAAGACTACAGAAACCCCAGGAAGCCATTGTACCAGGAGCTGAAGGGGGCAACTTCACGTGGGAGGGGTGGAAGAGATGCTTCCAGAGCTCTCTGAAGTGAAGTATCAAACACCTGCCTGAGCTGTTGTCTGCTGAGAGACTACAGAACCAGACACACCAGTCTGGGCTGTCAAGTGGAGGGATGAGTGACTGTGAATAAAAGCTTCAGGCCAATGTCAAGTCTACCAAATAGAGTTGCAAACAGCTCCCAGTCCTGCGAGCAAAGGCTACAGACATCAATCAAAGAGCAATCTCCCAACGTCAGCAGTGTGGGAAGGACTGGCTATGTTTCACGCTTCAGTGTTCTCAGCCACTGTTTCGCACATGGAGAATAATTACAGTTAGGGGTGTCATCTGAGAGGAAGAATGGCAAGGGTGGATGGTGTCAGTGGGGTAAGAGGATGGGATGATGTGCACCCCGTATCTGGAGAGACAATTTACCTCTCTTCATTTATATGTAGTCTCAGAATCATAGGGAACCATTTCAAAACATTTTCCTTCTTAAAAGTTATATAACGTGCCTTGTTTCCGGCTTATCTCCATCACCTGTTTATGTAAGTGTGTCAGAGTCTTATATCCCTGCCAGGATAAAAAGCCTAAAGAAATTTTATTAAACAGGTTCTTAGGGATACATCAATGTTCACGATGTCATTTTAGGGTAGTTCTGAATTCTGAAAAAAAAATTTAATCTAATGCTGTTTCCCAGGGGGAGACTGGAGGAATTTTTCCAGCTCTGAGAAAGATTCTGTGACAGTAAAGACAGCAAGTCAAAAGTGGCGTAACCCTTCTCATCATCTTTCTTCTGAGTCCTCAGGTTTGTGAAGCCCTGGGCCAAGAATGTCACCCAGTGGCAGGTGTGGCCTTCCATGGCTGCTGGACAGCTGGCTTATAATCCAAGTGTTATTGGCTCTTTTGATGCCTCTACCATAAACTTTATAGTGCACACTTTTCCCGACACAGGATTCATTTTTGCTTTTTCCTTGTGAAGATAGTTACTAAAAAAAAAAAGATTAAAATAAAAGTCTTTCATGTGAGAGCAAGAAGCACAAAGAAAATACTTACTTCTTTATATTTTGCCTATCTTCTTTTAAAACATATTTTTCCTAAAGGAAAAAATAAGGTCAAATGTTGGCATCAGTTTCATGTTTTTGCAAGAAATATAAAAAGAATAGTTTTTTTTCTTTCATTGATTGTAAATCCATTTTCATTGTGTGTTATTCATTTATTGTATAAAGTATTATGTTATCAATTCACAAAATAATCTTGGACTTGCATTATTCACTGAGGCTTTTGATATGGTGAATACATTTAAAAACAGTCATGTGATCATATTGTTATTTTAAACAAAACAACAGTAGACATAGAAGCCAGTACATTGTTATTGCCACAGTCTTAATCCAGCCTTGGAAAAAATGCATATCCCACATTTAGCTCACAACTGTTTGACAGCACAACCTTTTTTTCCCCTTGTAAATATATGAAGGGATTTAAAAAAATTATTTTCTAACTTCTAGCAAAATCATTTTTTATTATGGAGAAATAGCAATTTTTGAGGCCAGATTAACTTTGTAATACCTTGTTCCCATTCTGATAAGAAGGTATGGTCAGTATTCCACTGTCCAATTTTCAAACCATGTTATTTCCGGGAAAGACAATCTTTCTAAGGACTGTTAAATCCCCTTTGCCAACTAGAAATACAAAGTTATATAATTTTATACTTTTTAGGAGCGTAGTGGCACTGAAGGTCAGTAGAGTTTCAACCTTCAGTGGTATCAGAAACGCCTCCTTAAGTGTCATTAATGGCAGTGTTATGCCCTTCGACATGGGGGTATTTGTATTCTCTAGGCTTCATTTTATTGTATTGGTGTGTTCAGCTTTTGTACACAGTGATTGCTTACCAGTTTGAAGTATTAATTTTGGCTTTAATGTCTCAAGTGTCCCTTAAATCTAAAAAAAAAATTTTTTTTCTTTTATTTTAATTGCTAGAGGGTGTGTGCTCTTGTCAGAGAGACAGAGAGATTGAAGGAGAAAGCACCTCCCAATGGCGTGTGGTCAAGCCACAATCCATTCTCCAGTCTCCATCCTGTTGATATGTTGGGCACATGCACATATGTACTCAGTGTGTTTTTCAGGCCTCTGGGTCTGGGATTTGAACCATGGTCAACTGTATAGAATTCATTTTCCTTAACCACTAGACTATGGGGCTGGCCCTAAAATAATTAATTTCTTATATTACATTCTTTAACTCAGAGATCTGGGACTAATCTTGGTCTTTCTCTTTGCCTCATTAAAATGATGTGATATACATTTTTATTGGGCTTTCTCAAAGGATAATGTCAAACATATTATAGTCAGCTTCTTGTGATTATAGCATCCTTAAAGATCATTGCAAATCTGAGCTTTCCAGGGTGCACAACCCAGGGTTGTCTCTTTGGTAGAATTGTAAATAGCAGTCAGCTGTTTAATGACATAATGTGAACTTTTACAGACTCATCTAATTCTACAACCAGATTGCTCTCTGAACCCTTGAGATAAATCTTCACTCACTCTCTGGAATTGTTCAACACACAGGTTAATTTCTCACTATTGATTTTTCCACTATGCATTTTGAATGCTTTAAGATCTCTTGACCTACCCAAAATATCTCTGTGACAGTTGGTTTAAAAAGAATAGCTCTTCAAAAGAATGCTTGAAACATCAGTAAAGATAGGAAAATAACTCTTCCCCATCTATTAGCAGGGTAGTTTAACTGGACATTTTGATTAGGTTTCAAAGAGAGAACAAAATCATGGACATTTACAAGAGGTGTTATGTATTAAAGTTTCTGAACATATGCGCTACTCTTGTGGGCATTCCCAGGGAGGCATAGTATTCTCATCCAGTGACTGAAAAATATCATGTTCTATGGAAGCAATAACCAGAATTCCCTTGGGTAGAGAGTGAGGAAATGGTCAGGAGAGAAAACACAAAAGTATGGTTCAGAAGACCTGTCAGCCCCACCCGGAGTGGGGGGACCGCTCTGGGCTTTCGTTACTCATCTGAAAAAACAAAAGTATTGGATCCTATGCATCTTCCCATCACTGAATTCTAAGATTCAGTGCTCTTTATCCAAGATGACATATACATTTTTATTAACAGAAAAAAAAAACAAGTTAAAATTAAAAAAAAAAGCAAAGTAAAAACATTTTTACAGCTGTAAAAACTTGAGAAATGTATTGTGAACATGATTCTTTCTCTTAGAGACCCATTTTGATACCCGCATATTCTTCATGCACCCTACCATTACTGAAAGTATGGAGCTTTTTCTAGGGATTAAATGGTCCCTGGTGTTTCAAGTCATTCCTGAAACATTGCCCCATTAACAGAAATGGTGTCAGAAGCACTTTATTAATGGTCATTTCTTTTGTGGATTTTCCAAATAAGACAACAACATTGTTAAGATCAGCAATATAAAAACGGAAACACCCAAACAAATAAATAAATTAAACCAATTCTAAGTTTCCAGCACAGATGAAACAGAATGGAAGTGAACCAAGCCATTTTCACACATCACTTGGAGTGTAGATTTATTTGGGTTTACAAATCTCCTAAACAAATTACATCAACCTTACTCCATTTCCTTCTTTAATAAAAATGATGACTGGAGAAACATCAGACTTTTAAATTTTTAAAAATAATAGAAAAGTAAAAATAGATTTTTTTTTTTTAAAGGAAATCCCTATTCTAAATCTTATATGATTTCGCTGCTTCTGTGAAATCTTTCTTTGGAGTAATTTAGTAGCATAGTGTTTTGTTTTTATTTTTAACTGGATTCATACAAGGGCACGGAATTAGAACTTCAGCTGATTTATGGAGCATGAACATTTGTGAACGATAAGTAATCTCTGCTCTGAAAGGAAGATGGCAAACGCTAGTAAAAGAATGGGGAAGGTACACTGGAAGTCCATTTCAGTATGTAATGTAAGTCTTACATGTGATAGCGCACCCTCGTTTACAAATAAGACGAAAGGAAACAGAATGGTATGAGCACTCTAAAATCATCTGCAGCACTTTTAAGGGTTAAACCTGCTTAACCCCTTCTTAGTCTGAGAATGGCACCAAAGGGTACAGCCCACCTCTTAAGCGTGACTAGGTCTAGACCTGTGGTATCTTCAGGTTGTCAGAGCAATCATGCACTCTATTTCTGCCCCCCTCCCACCCAATTAATAGGATCCATTCATAGCTACTCACTACTGCAGGATTTGACCTGAGAAATGCTAGGATTTATTAACTCAGCAGTTGTTTGGAAAAGTTCCTAAGTAATCTTTGCCCTTGGCCAGCAAGGGAACTGCTAGTCTCGAGTTCTCAGAAGCAGCTGGTGAGGGTCTCAGCCGAGTTCTTCAGATGCAGGAAGTTCTTGAAGACAACCTGCTTGGACATGGCATTTACAAATTTTTCAGCCAGCCTCCTTGGATCTAGGAAATGTTATTCCTGACTCCTTCGACCCAGATGCTGGTTAAAATTTTGTTTATAATCTGTAGGTAATCACTCTTTTTCCCTTCCTTCTTTCTTTCTAGGAGCTGGCATGGTGGTTAAATTTTTCTAAAACAGTCATATTAATGTGTTCGAAAATCCACTGCTGAGTTTCAGAGAGAGGATCACATCTGGCCATAAAAATCTTCTTCTCTGCAGGGTTGCAATCCACGCAGCTGTTGCTCACAGGGTGGAATAATGTCCTGTCCTGGAAGGATTAGAAAGAAAAAGAAAAGACTGATGTAATACATGGTTAATGGTTAGAGCCCTATATATCTGGAAGTGAAATATTTATGTTTGTATTTGAGTAGATAACCGTAGTGTAAATAGACCAATTCCCAAATCAAACAATAGCAGATTGAATTGCCAACACGGAACAGTTTTGTAGGATCCATTGCACCAAGTAGATTCAATCAGAGACCAAAAAAAATTCATTTATTCATTTTCTGAAAAGAATCTATCCATTTTCTGCTCTGTATTGAGCTTTGCTACATGATTAGATTTTGGAGATAAGTATCTGGGTTGCTTGTCAAGCTAATAATCTAGCTATTGGGAAGAAAATGTCTACAAGAATCATAATGTAGTCTACAGTAAACAATAACCACACACACCCACAAACCCACAATATGAATGACCAGAGAGCAGCATAATTTTCCCTACCCTACATTGAGCCTCTAATGGGGCTCAATAAAAAATACAAAAGAAAAATGCAAAAGAAATGAGAGCTGTTTTCTTTTCATGGACCTGGGAACAAGTGACACAAACAATACTTGAATATCCAAACTCAAAATGTATTAGCTATTATGATATCTATACGCAGTATAGATATCAACTCAGTGAATGAGAAGTAATAGCAGGTTACAAAGTTAAGGTAATGAGCAAGTTCATTATCTGAACAAGCTCTATTAATACACACCTCTTTTTATTGCAAGCAGGGAAAAGGAAGTTAATGCTAACAGAAAAAGATTTTCCCCAATTAGTAGAAACTTTTACCTCTTATGATATCTATTCCCCAAAAGAAAATGCCACTGCTTAAATTTTAGGATTCATATATCTTAAGAACTGTTTAGAGGTTCTTTTTTTTTTTTTTTAATTTCCTAAACTTACAATGCTTTCAGAATTAGAAATTTGTCAGGCACCCTTTGTAAACGTTTCTGAGTTGCTCCTGGATTTTAAGACTTTGTCAACTAATATTTAATGTCCTTTGAGGATCCGGATGTTTGCCTAGTTCAGAGCTATGAGAAGGAAGGAGTAAGGAAAGACAAGGGCGGCAATTTAGTTTGCCTGTTTCTATTATATTTTCAGTGTAAACAAAGAGCTACGCCTAATACAAAGGCTTCTATTCTCTTTGACTCTCTTTAAAGGTGAAGTTTCCTGAATGTATTGTGGATTTCACTTTCCTTGTACAAAGAGGCTTCCTGAGGTCTCCTTACCATTTTATTCATCCCCTGTTTCATTAATTCCACTGTCGTCTGACCCAGAGAAAGGCTCTGAGAAACTCCCGTACTCTGGAGTGGAGGTAGCAGATTCTAGGACAAAGGAACACGTGCTTTGCACTTCACTCACACATTCTTCTTTCTTGGGACCCTAGATGTTCAGTGTAACAGATCCCTTCTGATAGCCTCTTGGGCAGCAGTCTCCTGTATTATCTTCCTCTCTTCCTCTCCAGCATCTCTCACATGCAGTCTTCCAAGGCCAACTTCCACTGGTTTAAATTATTACTTTTTCTTTATTCATGACAGAGTGTGTACACATGCATGTAAGAGAAAGAGAGAGACACAGAGAGACACAGAGAGAGGGACAGAGAGAGAGAGAGAGAGAAGAGCACCCTCTAAGAGTCTGTTCACACTATGATCTCCTTCCTCCAGTCCTCTAGCCCATTGAATCCTGGGTGCTGTGCATGTGCCCAGAATGGTTCAGGCTGACCAGACCAGGGATTTGAATCGTGGTTGTCATGTAGGACCCAGCTTCTCTGTCTCTCTATCTTCATTTTTATTTTTTTTTAAGAGATTTTTGCTATAGGATGTGTGCAGTCGCCAGAGACACAGACAGAGACAGAAAGGCAGATAGTGAGAAATCATCCCCTGTGGGGAATGGCCATGCTGCAATCCCTTCTCCTTTATTTTCCTCTTGGGATTTTGGGCATGCATGCACATGTGCCCGGCAGGACTCAGCTTCTCTTGAGCTGCATACCATTGCTGTGTCAAAGAGCTGGCCTAACTTCTACCAGTTTAGTTACCTAAACCTAATATATTTAGGTCAATTCTTCAGAGAGCATCATTAAGAAGAAGAGCATGTTTCTGTTCTCTTTTCTTCACCAGTTTATGTACCTTAGTGTGGATGCGAATGCCAAACCAGTTTATTTTCTGAACAGTTTATTTTTCTGTACATGATTTTCTGAGCCATAAGGTGATCATATTTTTCCAGCTCCCATAATGGAATACATGTTCTGACAAATACAGGTATACCCATGGGACAACTACATAGGATATGCAAATTTGGCAGTACCCTGAATAACTCAGAATATGTGTTCTATACTTGTACTTCATGTTCTCATACAGGTAGAAAAATCTAATTCCTTGTATCTATCCTTCTCTGAGAAGCTTCATCAGTAAAATAAGGGGGTGGATTTGATCAATCTTTCAGGCCTCTCCCAGCCATAAAATTGAATGAACATTTTATTCCAAAGTTCACTGGTGACAGAGACAAATGACAGTGTGTCCAACTAGAGCTCACCCACAATATTCAATAGATCAACGGATTGATTGTTTCCTAGTTATTAACTGAGCTCTGCTCACTCTCATCCTTGTCCTTGAAGTGTCCAACAGGTCTCGGAAGTAAAACATTTTTCACTTTAGACCTTGAGTGCTGCATAACTGCCATCTTGATGTTTCTATCAAGCCCAGCATCTGGATTGCTTAATATCTTTTTTTTTTAACTTTTATTTATTTATTTTAATTTGACGAGAGAGAGCGAGCAAGCCGCCAGGTCTGGGATTCGAACTGCTGTTGGCCATGTGGGAGTCCAGCATCCTTAGCCTCCAAACTATCTGCTGGCCCCATGGATCAGTTAATATCTTTACTGATGCTTTTCCTGGCTGGATTAAGTCCCTGGATTGAGTTCTTTGCATATGGTCTCTCATTCTACAGCAGCCCTTCCCTCCATCTCATTGGTTATGGAGTGATAGCCATTAAGAGAACGGAATACAGTTGTTCTCTGTGCAGTAGGTTTCTGGGTGCTTCAGCAAGCTTTTCTGTTCCTTAACAATCTCCTTGAAGGGTAATAGAAGTTGTTCTTTCTGTGTTTTCACTAGATCGCTCTTTGTTCACTCTTGAGGGCAGGTGCAGCCTATGCTCTGGCTGTTCACAGCGTAATGCAGCGTTGAGTCTGCTTTACTTCTGCTTTCCCTGGTTGGCTACCCTCTTATTTGGTTTTGGGGATTTTCATTGTTCCTAAGAACATTAGAAATCCTTAAGCAGGAAACGCAGTTCATATCCAGGATTTCTAAATTGCCCTTCATAGTGAAGGCCTGGAGTCAGCTGATTAGCTCACACTGAAAAGCCTGGGTGGGACTTCCCAGGTAGCTCATTGAAAAGGACATCTCATCATAGGAGGCTGACAGACTTGACTGGCATCGGTGTGACACTGTGGTATTTGCAAGTCTGTACTAAATTTCATTACATTCCATACTTACAAAGAATTCTAACACTAAATGAATGAGTGAGTTATAGAAAGCATTCCACACTGTACTTGGGGTCATAAAGAAACCAAATGCCAAAGTTCATAATGTATAGGAAGATTACTCTGAGAATACAACCACTACATAGGTAGATGAGAGGCCACGTGGTGCTGGGTGAAGGGCCTGGGATTTATGGCTGTATGTGCTTTATCGTATTCTAGTCATGCTATGTGACCTTGGACAAGTCATCTAATTCTCTATACCTCAGCCTACTTATTTGCAAGATGCAGATAATAAATTGCCTGACACATTTGTTGTGAAGATAAAATGAGTTGATATATGTAAAGTTGCTGGCACGATGTCTTGCATGTAAGCCAGTAACTAAGTAGTAGTGATTCTGCTCTTCCCGTTCCCTAATTTATTTTTAGTAGGGGAGCATCCCTAGTTCTAAAAATCAGAACATACTAGCCATCTGGTCTGAGACCAGCTATTTACCACCAAATTGTGTTTTCTGACATCCCGGTAAAATAGAATTTGCAAAAATTAGGCTCTTCTCAACCAGCTGTCCAAATTGATCCAAGTATCTCCCTTTTTAATCTCCTTTTTAAAGCCAGAGTATTTATGGAACAAAGGTCATCTATGGCTCTGAAATGAGCTCTTTCGTGTAGTCGTGATCAGCGTTTGCACCTGATCTCAGTGTTTAGGCCTTTTTGCGTGGATAAAACATTATTCAGGTCAGTTGGGTTCAACAAATATTAAAGGCCTTTCATTTTCTGGTATGTATTAGGAAAAAGGCATAGAAAGATAATATAAGATAGAATCTCTGACCTAACTAATCAAGGAAACAAATAGTAAACAAGAAATGATTGAAGTAAAACTAGGTCAATGAGATTGCAGTAAGGATGAACAAGATGAACTCTTTCAGACAGAGGGAAGAACATGTGAAAAGCACAAGGAGAGGTAACACGTACATATATGCATTCAATTTATCCAACAAAAAATGTATTGGGCACCAATTTGCTAGGCTCTGTATTGGTGCTTGGGATACATCGATGAACTTTATGAGATAAAAATCCTTGCCCTCATGGAGCTTATACTCTAGAGGTAAGTGTAAGGGTAGGAAAGTGGGGCATGAACAATGGATAATGAAAACAATAGAAAAAATCTGGGAGTAGGGCCTCCAAAAGTTCATGGAAAATGCATATTATGAGATAATGACCAAGGATTTCAATTATTTTTGCATCAAAATAAATTCGTACTCTAATTCCATTTTTTATAAACTTTTAAAAGTATCTTTGTATATAGCCTACTTAGAGGTGATATAAAAAATACTGAAGAAATCAGGAGGACCTGGAGTGCTGGATGATGGTGGAAGTGTGCAAATGTAAACAGAGTGGTCAGGGTAAACCTTGTTGAGATGGTGCATCTGCGTAGTCTTGAAGAAGGTAAGGGGATTAGCCAAGCAAGTATCTGGGTGAAAAGGGTCTCAGACAGGAGGAATAGCCAGCACAAAGGGCCCTGAGCAAGCA